GAAGCATAATACATATTATCTACTGCAATAATCAAGATCCAGTTCACCTACATTACCTCAATAGCTCGGTATCTACCCTAATTTCCTAATCATGCAGGCAAATTTGTCATTTCCTCTCATTTTATCATCGCAATGAAACATGATCACATACTTGGATTCTGGATACTGGTACATAAGACCAATATAGCATGTTCCTCGACTCTCTTTATTTGTTGTCTCTTCATATGTCTGTTGTGTTTGTTTCACCTCTCAGATAGAGCCAAAGTAGAAGTCAGTCACATATGTTATGTTCAGCTGTCACTAGATCTTTTTCATTCACAATGTGCTTTTTGTGTCCAATTTTACCTTAATTAATCTAGTGTTAGTCGGCAAGGTAACACATTATATGCATGTCTCACTTCTTTTCCAATCTTCCATTTGCCTTATTGTGGCATAAGAGAGTGGTATAAGATTCATAATAATCGTCTCTGTCACAACGTTCAAGAAGAAGCAGTTAATCATCTTCATCAGTTTGTTCAGAGAGAGAATCGGTCATCTCCAACATCAACCTCGTCCGAGATGTCATTCATCTTGTGTTTTGTGGTACAAGCCTGTCATGCTTGTTCTTCACATTTCCTTTTCAAACTCGTTATTCATGTTTTCGCTTGAGCCGGAGTGTTGGACTTGTAATTGGAGCTTATCTCTCGGTTAGTTACAAGTCCAATTGGAGTAAGAAGTCCAATTGCAGTAAATAACCATTAGTTCTCCTTGTCCATTATATGGTTTTGTATTCCTTGCTTGTCAAGCCAAGGCCACGGCAAGCCTAAACTTTGTCTATCTAAGAACTAAGCTACCAAGTTTTGTGGTAAGCTAGTCGAGCAAGATGTAATAATCAAATAATAAAACGTCAGTCATAAACTCTTCCAACCTTACCGCCTTGGGTAAGTCTCGTTTAATCAAGAACGAGAATAACACGTAAAACTCTCGTGTCTCGTGTTCTTTTCAATTTCGGGTAATCAAATTCTTCAAGTAGTACTGCACGCTCTCATTCATGCAACCTAAGCAAGGTTTAGAGCCTGCAGGCACATGCTGGCAGCGGTGGCCATTCTCGTGGGCAGCCTATCTAGCCATGACTGCAAAGTATACAATAAAAAAACAATACAACGATGGCGTTTTTTCTATATACCTTGCTGCCAATTTATGACGAATGTGATGCAAAGTAAATGAACTTTGGAGGCATTTGCGGTTACGTAAAAAACAAATCCAAAAGAATGAATCGATGATGGAGTGAATTTTTGGCTTTGAATTGGAACATCACCAACTGGAGAGAGGGTGGTTGGATATTTATTTTTACAAGCTACCTAGCTAGCTAACTGGGAAGATTAGAGGTTGGATAGTTTCTTGTGTATAACAGTTTCACACGCCTGTTTATCTATATAATAAATACGATAATTAGTTAATCAAATCAGTGGTGAAGCAATGCCAATTTAGTTAGCTAGGGAGAGGGTTGAGATCATATATATAAATTTACTGAATGATTACTTATTAAATTAGTTGATTAGGATTGTATAGGAGAAATGATCTTGCCATTAAAATTCCTGGGTCATTTACCAGAAAGCAGGTCAAGAAGTTCATAGATCAGGTTCTAATCTCATTAAGCTACCATTATTATATACAAAAAGTGGGGTTGTCCCGACTCAAAACTCGTCTACCATATTCAACGCACTCTAATCATTTCGAATTAGGTTGGACGCCGTCTATAAAATGACATTGTTTTGTTTTTTGGATGTGGGTTGGATGGAAAGCGGGCCAAGTTTTAACAAAATTCACAACCAACCGGCCAATCACAAAAGTGGATAAAACTCAGTCCCGACCCATACTTATCACTACCAGGTCCAACCTGCTTTGAATGGGTCGATTGCTTCGTTTTTAGGTGCGGGTCGGATGGAAAGCAGGTCGAGTTTCTAACAAAATCCACACTCGACCCAGCCCGTCAATTAGAAAAACGGGTAAAACTCGCTCCCAACCAAAATTCGTCAACACTAGATTCAACCCATTTTAACCTTGTTCGATTGCTTTGTTTTCAGGTGTGCATCGGATGAATTAATCAAAATTTTGGTGACATTTTTTATTTTCTTTTATAAACATTAAACTCAAACCCATGGGTCCTCAAAAAGTTGGTGACAAAGCAAGTTCATAGATCGGGTTCAATCTCATTAAGCTACTATTATTATATACAAAAAGTGGGGTTGTCCCAATCCAAAACTCGTCTACGCCAGATTCAACCCACTCTAATCATTTCGAATTAGGTTGGACACCTTTCTATAAAATGACATTGTTTTGTTTTTTTTGGATGGGGGTGTTTTATTTGACCAGACACCAAATTGCAGCAGCTAATAAATATAAACATGCCACTGGACGCCATGTGTGTTGTTTCAGAGCTATAAGAAAAAACGAGATCGCGAGTTTGACTTTAGGAGTTGAAATGCATAACATTTAATAAGAAAAAAATTGTTGGGAAATGAGGTTTGACTTTGGGGATAGGATGAAATGAACAGAATAGGATAATGTTATGTAGTGAAGACTGTTGTGTTGTCAGTCCATTTGTTTGCATGGCTCATTTTCTGCCTGCAGCAGCAGCAGCGGGGAAGATAATCACAAATATGGACAGTTCGGTGACTATTAAAACCAGCAATAATAAGAACAATTCAAGTTCCCAGGCAAGAACACTACCTAATTTTTGCTCAGGGATTTGAAAGCCATGTTGATCAACTCTCTGATTGATTTCCAAGACAAATCTGGAAAAAAAATCCAAGAAGGTAAGATGTGAATGAAGAAAAAGTCACTGAAATGGAGCAAGAGCAAGCGAATCAGAGGATGCCCAAGATGATCGGTTAAAATGAATTTGTCGACTTGTTTTTGTTGATGAGAAATGGACTAAATGTTGCTTTCCGACTCCATAATTGTGTGTAAAACATAATAAGGATTTATAAAAAAAAAATCTGCACAAAAATACCCTTTTCCTCTAGGGATTGGCTTTGGGCCATAAATGCGGCAAACAAAGTTTTTTGCTAACTGAGTTCGGCCTATTGCTTATGTTTTGTTTCAATAGTGTATGCCCTTTGAGTCTGAATTTTCTAGGGTTTTGTCTTATTGATTTTTCTAGCTCCAGTTGAATCCCTTCGGTTGGGATTCAAACAATTTACAGTACCAAAACTTAAATCGAATCGAACACACTCTTCCAATTAAGAGAGATCTCACAAACTACAAATCACTTAAGCAATCTCACAGAACCAACTCACTCAACTATTACTAATCACAGAGTATTTGCCGCTTTCGATTTTATACACAATTCTTGTCTTTCAAAAGCCCTTGTCTTCTGCTTTTTATACTTCCTCAATGATTGCAATGGCTCTATTCTTGGTTTGAGAACTTGTCTCCTTGTTTGAATACTTTCCTTCTTATTTGAGATTGCTTTCTTGCAGTACAAGATCAACGCTAACACAACCAGATTCATTAGAAATATTTGTTTTTCTTGCATGTTTTGACCATTGCAGAAAGGGAAAGATACTCTCAACAATCTCCCCTTCTTTGCATTTCTACAAGTCTTCACCTGGCCTGGATTATAGACATCACATCGTATAATCTAACGATGGCAATGGAAGGGGGCGGGTGCCTCAATATCCATACTCACCCAACACCAAGCATTGGTAGTCAAGTATGGGTCGGGTCGACCCACTCTTACATGTTATATGAAAAAATGCACCCAAAATTTTACATTTTATGATAAAACGAAGTAAAAACACTTTATGAATAAAAAATAACGATAATATAATAGATAACTGAGTCTAACTAGTTGAAAGATATAGTCTAACAAGTTCACGAAAAGTCAAAATATGATAAGTCTTGTACTATTTATATACGGATATCTTAAAAGCAAAAGCGGTATCAAATGTAAGCTTTGTTTGGATGAGTTTAATGGGAATCAGGGAGTTGTTGGAGGAAGAATTGGGATGGAGAGTTGATGATGGAGAAGAAATTCGAATTTGGGAGGAAAAATGTAACTCAGGAAAGTTCAGCCTTAAACCTAACATTACATCACAAACTATTGATTCCCCACTTTATGTTTCTATCCTTTTGATAAGTAATGCTAGAATTTGTTTCCTGATCCTCGGGAGAGTACTGGTAAAATCGGGCTACAAACTATACCTCAAAAGAAACAAAAGTGTAATCAACCAAACAGGTAACGCCTCTCCGAAAATGGCTAGATTTTGGGCAAAGATGTGGAAATTGAAGATGCAACCTAAATACAAACACTTTTTTTTAAAGGTTTTGTATGAAGGCATTACCTACATGAACTCTACTAGTGAATAAATCGAAGAAGACATGACCGTGATGCCCATATTACTATATGCTCGAGACTCTAGATACGACTCATTGATTTAATGAATGTATACACAGTTTCCTATAATTAAAAAATCACTCAAGACGAACAAGGGTTTGACCTAGTATGCTCTAGATTCTAGATACGACTCATTGATTTAATAAATGTATACACAGTTTCCTATAATTAAAAAATCATTCAAGACGAACAAGGGTTTGACCTAGTAATAATACCACTAGTCTAGAACCTAGAGGTCCCAGGTTCAATTCCTTAACCTTAATCACAAAAAAATGAAACATATATTACCCTTATAAAAAAAAATATCACTTAAGAAATCTAAAAGAACTAACTCACTCAACTATTGCTAGTCCCAGAGTATTTGGAGCTTTCAATTTCATACAGAATTCTTGTTCATTAATCTCAACCCGACATACATGTTTTGGAACTTCTCCTACCACATGGACATGGATAAAGAAGTGTACAATGGAGAAGGGAAGTAGATGATGCTTAAACATACGAATGAATGCATCTACTTCATCACATGGGAATAGTAATAAAGTCTAAGTGGCAGTTTTTTATTGTCTCATAGGTGCCTGCTATTACCTGTCTAACTAGTATTCGTAACCAATTGAGGAACAAATATTACACATAGATGAACTCATAGGATTAAAAGGGGGTAGATGGTTTGGCTTAACAATAAGTAGATTAGAGTAGGTGGCCAGTTGAATGGTCGAGACAAAATCAGTGGGATTGACCCCATAGGGTTAAAATACTGAATAAGCCTTTTTTATCCCAAATAAGGTAGTTGGTCCGATCGAACAACATACAGAAATCCCATTTCCATCAACCAATCCCACACCTAACTAACACAAAGGCAAAAGGCCTTTCTTTGGCTTTGAAGTGGCTAGCCAACCCAACCCAACCCAACCCAGAGACATCCACTTGCCCAAACTGTTCTACTGTTTCTACAAACTCTGCCACTGCAGCAGGTAGCAGTGCCTGCTATTACGTACCAGTGAAAGGAAGTAATGACAAGTAAGTACACCAGTATTCACGGATCTCAGCACCTACCAAATTATAAAGGAACCACAACTTCCAACTGCTAGTGCACAGCAGGCCAAGTTAAGTTCAGCCAGCCAACTACCAGCCCACGTCTACTCATATGTGATTGTGCTGATACCTCGAACCCCACGGCTACTTTGGAATGACATTCCACTACAGAGAAGAGAAAACAACCCTTTTGGTCGGTTGTTGTCTCAGTTCTTTATCCATTCCCTCGCTCAGATTACCTTCTACACAAGTAGTTTGGCAGAGCAAACTTGATGCTTCTAGCTACCTGCAATGTTCCAAAAACACCACACACACAAAAAAAAATCCAACTTAAAATGACTACCCGGTTGAATCCTTCGCGTCCCGAAAGAGAAATCAGTACAAACCTTCAGAGCAAAATCTTCAGAAATGGTGCATCGATACCGTGTTGAACCTTCCAAGGGGCAGCTTCCCCCTTTGGCTATGAAATTAGCATCACACAGACTCGATAGCTGCGATAGAACATTAGACATGAGCCAGCTGCTGTTTCCGCCATCCGTTGGAAACCCATCTCCATGTTCCTCCTCATCAATCGTCACATCGATTACAGATGTTATGCATTGAAAAATAGCCAGTAGTCTCTCCAATGGGAATGTTCCGGGTCCTTTCATAAGTGATTCTTGTTCTACAGTTTCCTTTTGCTCCATCGACTTTTCGGAGGCCCTGGTTAATCACAATATAGCATTAATAACAGTCTAAAGTTGTAAGTGAGAGAAGAAACTAGATAAACTAGGCAACAATGCTAAGTGGAACATGAAAACCCAAAAGATAAAATTGAATGACAAGTTTTTCCACAATACTGACAATATTTATCTACTCCGTAATCTAAGAAAATGCAATGTACTCACTTCCTCTTACGCTTGCGATTATCTGAACCGCCAGTGGAGTCAAACAAAGATGCATCCAGGGTAGCCGGATTTCTTGAAGCAAGGAAAGCTGAGATAAGAAGATACTTTGCAGCAGTGGACATATGGAAACCAATCTCGGTAAAATCTTCATTGTCTTCATGCTTTCTTATGCTACCTCTCTGCCTAGTAACCTTCCCAGATTCAATTCCAGATAAACACTGCGATGGCCCCCAAAATATCTCATTCAAAGCAGGGGAAATGTAAGGCCGGAAGTGACTAAACAATCTTCTCTTCATCTCATCATTGGGAAACGAACTCGTATCGCTCAGTGGTTCACAATACTTTTGAAACAAAGATGAAAAGACTGTGCTTAATTCATCAAGTCGTCTAGTTACTCTACTGAATGGCCTGAGTACAATGCTGTTTGACAAGGAACAAAACACAAATTCACTAACTGTCTCGTAATATAAATCGAACTGCAGACGGAAGTTGATCTCTACATGTACTTACTCAAGAAAACAGCCGTACAGCTTCTGGTTTGCTTGATTCCTTATCAGTAGTTGGCGAAGATCTTCTTCTGTATATTCAGGAAAAAAGACAGGAATAGGCTCTATGTATCCCATACTTGAGTAATATGTATCCGGCGAGCTACTGCTAACAAATATCAGCGCGAAATTAGGCAACTTCAGAATATCATAGAGATTGAACAGGAAAGGCAATAAGCTGGAACTTTTATCCCACTCCCGCACCAACTCCAAGTTATCAATGATCAAATAGAGGATATCTCCCTTCGGCCATCTACGCGACTTATTCGACTTCCGCTTTCCTGAGCGATCCTTGAGACTATCAACAACCTTCCCAACATCTTCACGGAGGAAGTTCACAAAATCAGATGGCTTTTCACATCGTTTCGCACTTGAGTAGCCGCTGGCTTCGTTCTTTCTATGAAGTAACAACTGGTTTAAGATGGACTCAAACAAGATCCGCGGACTATAACAAGTACGGCAGCTTGCATAGACAAATGGACGATTAAGGTGCCTGAAAACTTGAAGAATGACGGTGGTTTTGCCTGTAGAAGCACCTCCATAGACAAACAAAGGAAGCATAGGGGAATTGGGTGGACCCAAGAGATGCACAAGCTCAAGAATCTGAGGACGCCTAACTGGGAAACCAGACCGCAGGTCTTCAGAGCTAAGGGGTTCCCCTCCAAAAGCAAGGTCACTGACTGTTGGATTGTGGAGCGGAGTGAAAGTCGACCTTCCAACCTCGCCATTTGAAGCAGCAGCACAAGAAGACCTGGTTGTCCTTCTTGCAGCCTGCGGGCTTTCCTCCTTCCCCATTTTTCAAAAGCATGCAAAAATCATACCATCTGCAGCAATGCACGGTACACATGTTAGCTAAAGTGAGATGCAAAACTAATTGCACAAACTAAGAGATTGAATTCATTTCACCAAGAATACACAGTGCTAGAATACACAAAACTTGCATTGACAGTGGAAAGATTGTGATGACTGAATTATACTCGGAAATCAAACCGAAATGTTCTTCCTCCTTCTTGTTATTCCCTTTAGCTCGCGCGACTCAAGTAGTCGATTCAGTCAATTTTGACTGGATTCCACTCTATGAGCTTCTTCCCCCCTGTGACCTAGCTTTTCAATTCGAAGAACACGGTGAGAGTAAAAGCTAGAATGGAAGGAGAGTAGTTTTGATCGAAAAGTATCGAGTTTGGATTCTCAATTCTGTTTCCCGTATCGAAAAAAGAAGGGGGGAGAAAACGACGCAGCTCTAGCCCAAAAGTATTAGTCAAAGCCCAAATATTTATTTGCTAAAGGTGAACTTTCAGGCCCAAATTTCAGTCGGTATTCAGTTTCCGAATTTCCGACTCATCACAATTTTGACCTAACATATTTTATTTATTAATTTGACCTATTTTTGGCAGGTAATATTGATCTCATAGGCGGGGTGAACAGACATGAGTAGTCTCCCCGATCTGACTTAATCTGATCTGTCCTGATTGACCTCATTTTTTACTCGTTATTCGCTAAATCACATGTAATTTTATAAATTATTTAGCATTCTACTTTTATTACCTATATTTTAGCATAATAAAATTGTGAATAGGTGAGAACCTCAATTTATAGAATAAACTACATTCATAAACTACATTCATCATGTTGTAGTTTGTTTCTTGTTTTTTTAATACAAATTTTTTTAAAGGTTTACGTTGGAACTACATAGACATATGGGTCGACCTGCATCCCATGGTAAATAATTCGATCTAGACCGAACCTGCCATCGGACGAATATGGGTATCGAGATATCCGCCCCAATTTGTCACATTTGTCATTCATGTTTCCAAACTTTTGAAACTGGACACACGAATAACACAAGTGGGACAAGAAATTTAAAGTACCAAACCGTAAAAAGGCGCGCTATTTTTATTTGGTTTTCAGTATAAGATTGTTCAACCATGACTATTCGAGAATTATAAATTCCACGTTATGAAATCTTAAACGTAATACTTGTTGAAAATGTAGTTGAAATTCGTTGAGTACAATTGAACACCTCGATTAGCTTCGTCAATCAATAGAATGAATACCAATTACTTTGATCAACTTATGGTTGATAAATAAAATCCAAAATATCCCCAATTCTCTAACCCAAGCAATATACTCAATTGCTTGGACCCTCTATTTTCTTATCAAACACTATTACTACCCTTAGCTCTCTATTTTAATATTCCCATAAAAAGGAACATTCTAAAACAAAAGAGAGGATAAAGGAAGAAGAAAAGTGCAGCAGGCAAAGACATAAAGCGCAAGGATGGTCCGGTGATAAACAGAGCTGCATGCCATATCAACAGAATCAATCACTGGCCACCAATTACACAAAGAGCAAATAACAATATAACAGTGTCGAACTTTCCCTTTACGTGCCATCTACCCAACATCGATTCCTTTCTTTCTACTACGAGACAGGAACAACTCAAAAGCCATAACAGAAAATTACAGTACTAAGAAATCCATCTTTCAGCAGTTTCTCATCAGTATCCCCACACACACACACACACAACTGCCAATTTTATCGTCATCATCTTTACATCAGTGCTCGTTCGGGGAAGGTCCCTTCATCAAAGACAAGTGGCAACGATTGCCGCCGACGATCACATCCTTGATTCGAGATATCGGGCCCAGCACCCTCCCACTCTTCTGTCAAACACAGCAAGCCAACGAATTGGTAAGTGTTATGTCCCCAAATACATCAGGCCAACAAATTGCATCAATGGGATTTGCTGCAATACATAAATGGAAAAAGGGTGAAAAATAGAGACAGAAAGAGACCTCACTGCTGAGGGTAGCCTGCCACTTAAGTTGCAGAACCTGCCACCTTTCTTGTTGCCACCTCTGGCCAAGAATCACAAGCCCCATAACAGCTGCAGCAACAAAAACAGACCAAAATGTATTTGCCTCTTTGGCATGACCATACACAGAAAGAGCCCTTCTTTTCCACCAAGCTTCACATGGTAGTGCTTCTTTAGGCCGCTCATATTGACCATCTTTAGCATGCTCTGGAGAGTGAGACCTGTCCGCAGGAAGATGTGAAACCTGATCAACAGATTCATTTATTTCATGAATGCCGCCATATACAGTAGAACCACCTAGGCCTGTCTCACTGTGCAAAGAACTAAAGGCAGCTGTACTATATATACTTTCTTCTTTGCCCGATAGATGCAACTCTGGCAGTGCTGCACTCTCTTCAAACTCTTTACCCGAGATCAAAAGCTGATTACTGCCAGTGTCAAAGAACTGCGCCCCTGGAAAATCTTCAGAGACATTTAGCCCCTTCAATGGCCAATTCTCATCATCCTTCCCACCGGAGACGTTTCCTTCTTCAGCATGATATCCAGAGCCCAAATTCTTACTAGTAACATCATCCACAATCTCACTGTGTTCAGGCTCCAGAGGCAAATTCTCATGCTGGCTGGGCGGGAAGACAAAGTGTTCAGACATGAACAAAGCATGAGAAGTCTCGGCCTTATACACCTGATTAGCGTCGCCATCATTATCATCATCCTTCAATTCAACTTCTGTTGGGCCCGGGGCAGCTGCATATGTCGAAGCTGTGAGTGAAACAACTTCCCACTCGTTCCCTCGAGAGGCATTCTCCCCGCCTTCCTCGTTATCTGCCATCGCCGGAGTAGAGGGTCTTCCTGAATCCAGAACCACACAACAAATAGACTGAGAGAACAAAACACTACAGCTTGAACCGGTAGGATTAAAACCATCACAATTCAATAATTCAAAAGCAGTTGGCATCAATCGCCCATATCCATTCATCTAGTAAATTACTGTCATGGCATGTAACCGCCAAAACACAGTTAACATTTGTAAACATCAACGATCATGCTGAGAAGCTAACACCTGGAATTGTGGAATCCTAATTGGGCAAGCAAGTAAGCAACACCCATCGAACAAAATTGGTGACCAAAATCAGGACGACTCCCCACCAGAGTTTGATTGAACAAATAAATGAAAAAATCGCAACCCTGAATTAACCATGTCCAGGAGTACTACTCCCAACAGAAATCAATGGATCAGAATTCAGAACAATCCATAATCAATCACCAATCATCACCAGAAAGGTTAACTGGTATTCACAAACCAAAAAATAAAAGTTAGCAGTTGGAGATGAAAATTGGGCCAAAACGAAGCGATCAAAGACAGCTTAGGAAAACAACAGCTAGCCAAGAGGAAAAGAAAAGCCAGGAACACCACTACTATCAGCGCGAAAGCAATCATCGGACATGAAAACAGAGTAACTCACCGGGAAGTGAAAAACGGAATCGCTTTGCACTGAAGAAAGACGAAGAAAGAAACGAAGGCAGGGATTGTAATCAGTACTCACGGAATTGGAATCGGGCGAGATCCAGGGGAGCTCGGAGGCAGAGACGATGACGTTGCAGATCAGATTACGGACTTCTCTGGAAATTCGCAGAAGTTAAAATGGATTATATATACCGGATGAAAAAAGAATTATTATTAAAGAGGGAGAGAGAGATTTGACGAAAAAGAAGAAAATGGATATATACTATATAGACTCCTATTAAAAAGAAAATGGATATATAGACGCGAAACCAGCGGAGAAACCGGCGGAGCCCGTCGGTTTGGTTAAAGAGTTGGAGTGATGGGCACCGGCTGTGGCGGGTTAAAGGTGGGGAATTCGATGTGGGGAGAAGATACAAGCTAAGATAACAAGTTCGGTTTTGTATGAATAATTGAATCAAATTGAACTATAATTTAATTTGAACCGATCAAACTGAATTATAATTTCGTTCGAATTCGGTTTGAGGTTTGATGAAATTATGGGACTCGGTATGCATTATTTCGATTCGGTATGAACCGAGCTGACTGAATGCCCACCTCTAGAAGGAAGTGGAATCGTATGGCAAAAATAATAGTATTCGTGGATATCTGTTCGAATTTGTTTTAATTGTGTAGAGTAAAATTGATATCGAAAGATTTGTAATGGATATGGATAAAAACTCGGAATTGAATATTGTGGGCGATGGATGAGTATAGTTTTCGCACTATCCAGACTTTATCCGCTCGATTATCATTACACGCATATCTGTTAACATGTTAATGTTATACAATAGGATTTGGCCCAGTATTGTTGGAGACTTAACCTGCTCGATTAAACACATGTATGATACCAATAGGATCTGACCCAATATTGGTGTCTCATATTGGTATTGATAAATATAAAATATATTGATGAAATTGTATTATTTGTAACTAAATTTCTTTGTTCTAGTAATTTATTGTGTAATTTTGCATTTATGTAATATCGGTACACATATCTGTTAACATGTTAATAAAAGTTATAAATATAAATTGTTAACATGGATAACTTTGGATAACATGGTATCATATTGTTGGTGATTTACCTTTAAAATATACTTTTTATAGGTTAATTTCATGAAAAAATATCGATTTAGTGAACTAGAAGCATAAAAGCGTAAAGCGTTTTGGTGAACTAGAAGCGTAAGCTTTAAAGCGCAATTGAGTCAGATTTTATATGGAAACGAAAAGGCTTGTGGTGACCTAGAAGGGTAAATTCGTAAGCTTTGAAGTTTTAAAGCGTGATTTTGACTGCATTGGTTAAAATCGCATTTTAAAACTTAAAAACTTAAGCTTTTACACTTCTAGTTAACCAAAACGCTTATATGTAGAATCACGCTTTTCGCTTACAACTGTACTCAAAATCTACGCTTTAAAGCTTACATTTTTACACTTCTAAATCCAAAGTGCTTCTATGTCGAATCAAGATTTTGAATGCATTGACACCAAATAAAGAAATTAATATGAGTCACGATGATATAATTTTTGGGCCCGTGATACCCTTGCCACCATGAAATTTGTGTCGTTGTCACCCATGTTCTAAAAATTGACTAAATGTTGGAGTACCCCTCCTGGTGTAATTATGGGGGTGATCATCACCATACCCCCGGGTGTGATGGGGCGGGGGGTGATCATTAGTATGACCTCCATGGTGTGATGAAGGGTAAGGGGGTGATCATCACCATAACCCCTAGTGTGGCGAGGGAGGTGGTCATCAGTAATACCCTTTGGTGTGACAAGGGGTGATCATCACCATACCCCTCTAGTCCAATGAGGTCGGGTAGAAATGGGACTAAGTACGGAGAAGATGAGGGAGATCATTCGAGGTAAAGATGGCAGAGCTGGGGGCTCACCAAATTCACACAAAATAATCCATTGTCTTTTTTGTTATTCTCTTTTTTCACTTCAAATTTAGCCATAATTATAGTTTTGGGTCTTTCACTGAATCTCCATAAGAGTATATTAGTTTAATGTAGTTTATTCACACAGGTAATAAAAAACATTGAACACCCTTGCTTGAACTATTTTCAAGGAGGTGTGAACCATTTCTAGTAATTGTTTGGTTAGAACTTAGAAGTCAAAGGTGCAATCAGTTATGTTCAACTACAATTTTCTCGCCAGAAAATAACGAGTTTGCAAAAAACTTCACCCCAAATGTTTTGGGACTCTAGAGTTGAGTTAAGAGCTTATGATTGACTGAGATTGGCCAGATTGTCCTTGCGAGATATGTACCTCATTGATGCGGTCTAATACTCTAAGTATGAGGGTTGACCTTATAAGCTGCTTGTAATCCACTACCTATGATCGAAAATCACGTATCATCATAGAGGTCCAGTGAGTTGTACGATTATGAGTATGGTTTGCTTAGGGACGAGTAAAGAAAGTTTAAGTGAGGGGTTATTTGATGACATGTAAAATTTATTATTTTATACCCCTTTATTATGGCTAAAATTACATGAATTTCACATATTCAGTATCATAATCACTTGCATTTGCTTGATATTCACTAGAGGTGTGTTTTCGTAGCTCTAGGATTTTTCTTCTTATTTTGATGCACTTTTGGTAGTGTTTCATGTGCTTTCAAGCAAGAGTATCCTAATGGACCATCTTGTACGAGTGGGGAACATCAAGACCTGGCTGTTAGGAGTCAGAATGTGAGATGGATCAAAGTCTAAAAAATGGGCTTAATTGCAAGTTTGGTCACTCGAATTGCTATAAAATTTCACGTTTGCCACTCAAATTAATTTATTCCATTTATAGTCACTCGAATTAGTTGAACAGTTCAAGTTCGGTCACTCTCCGTTAACTTTGACTGACGTGGCGGTCAACTCTGACAGTTGACCGTTAAATGTGTGACGTGGCAAATAAAAAATAATTAAAAAATAAAAATTAAATTTTTAGAAATTACACATCATTATCACAAAAAATTATAATTATAAAAAATGAAAAAAAGGAAAAGCTCGTCAATCATCTTCCCCGCGCTCACATAGACATCGAACGCCTTCACCGTGTGGGCGTACTCCATCTCCGCGAATCGATCGAGCAGGACGGCCAGGACCTCGACTATCTCCATGTACAGAGCAAAGCTCTCTTTAACCACCTGCTGAAACGCCACCAGCACCAACCTGTTGGTCCTCCGGCGCAGCCCTCTACCTTCCTCCGGTCCCGCTGAAGGAGCCGGTCTCAGCATGCTTGAAAGTGGAATTCGGATTCACTCCTTACAGCGAGAGGCTGAACGGGCGGATCGCGTTTCTCGGGCTGGCGGTGCTGCTGCTGCTGGAGCTGGCGACGGGGAAGAGCGTGCTCAGCTACCACACCCCGTCGATCGTCCTCGTCCCGATCTAATTCTTCACGAGAAACAAAAGAAGATGTCTCTAGTCACAGAAGAGATCAGGGCTAAAGCCACGGAGGTCTACAATGGCGACGAGATCTGTCAGGCCAAATCCAAGGAGCTCCTCAAGGAGATCCAACTCCCCAATGGGCTGCTGCCACTTCACGACATCGTGGAATGTGGGATCAACAGCGAGACAGGGTTCGTCTGGCTGAAGCAGAAGAAGAGCATCACTCACAAGTTCGACAAAATTGGGTAGCTTGTGACATATGCGCCAGAGGTGACTGCAGTGGTTGAAAAGAGGAAGATCAAGAAGCTGACAGGTGTTAAGACGAAAGAGCTTGTGCTTTGGGTTTCCCTCTGCAATATCTATACCGATGAGCCGCCTACGGGGAAAGTTACGTTCAAGTCCCCAACTGGGCTGTACAGGTCTTTCCCTACTGCTGTGTTCGAGGTTGAGGAACCTGCTGCTAAGGAGGAAACTACTGCTGCGGCTGCTCCAGCGGAAGCTGTTGTAGTGAAGGACGCTTAGAGTTCGCGTCTTTGTTCAGTGGAGAAGCTTTGAGAAAGAACCATATAGCCATGAGGTGATTAAGAGAAGTGTGGTTCTGTTTAGCAGCATGTCAATTCCCAGTTTCGTGTTGTCGTTTTAGCTTCTTGTTGTTGTTTTCTCTGTACTTTACTTGCTTTCATCACGTTGATAATAAAATTGCATCTGTTCTGCAAAAAGTTTGATTCTTTCTGGGTTTCTGGCATTTGGGTACACCAAGAATCAATGAAAGGGTTATTGGTCTGCGCAACGATTCAGTCTGCATCATATCGGATTAAATCGATTCGGTTCTCAAATTTCGAGGCTTTTTGGGTTTCAATTCCATAAATTACCATGCCGAATGAAAAGAAGATAAAATGTGGTTTTGATTCTAACTCAGGTTCTCATAAAGTACGAGAATTTTTTGTTAAAATTTCCTTTTTTTCATTTTTTATAATTATAATTTTTTGTGATAATGATGTGTAATTTCTACAAATTTAATTTTTATTTTTTAATTATTTTTTATTTGCCACGTCACACATTTAACGGTCAACTGTCAGAGTTGACCGCCACGTCAGTCAAAGTTAACGGAGGTTAACGGAGAGTGACCGAACATGAACTGTTCAACTAATTCGAGTGACTATAAATGGAATAAATTAATTTGAGTGGCAAACGTGAAATTTTATAGCAATTCGAGTGACCAAACTTGCAATTAAGCCCTAAAAAATGGCATCGAAATCAGTCGACTCGAGCCCAAAATGGTGCCTAGTACGCCGATTAAAAAATATCCAGATTGAGTACAGATTCAGAAGGAATATGTTAAGCTTGGTGGCCAAACTAGAAGAGATCGAAGGAATTCGACAGACGTATTTTAGGATGAGTTTTCCTCCTAGAGAACTAGATATATAAGCCTATAAATATACCCACAAGGGGTAAAAATTTGGTAACCAGTGATAGGAGGCATAACAGGAAGTGACTCTCCTAATTTAGAGCGAAGCCGAATTCATAGGGCGAATCAGCACCATAATTGGCGATATAACGACCGATTCCTTGTTGTGCGTATAGATTCTAAGGGTGATCTGAGGATCTCGTTTCGACTGATGTTCCTACAGTTTACTGTCTCCATGAAAGATTAGTTACTTAGTTGCGTAGGTTGGCTAACCCTAGAGATTCTTTGACTATGTAAACTCTTTTGATTTTGGTATATATATGAGTTTGATTTCATCTATCTTTTCTATTTGATTTATGTGCTTGGTTTGTTGTCGATTTGATTGTGTACGTAAGACGAAAACTATATTCAAGGGACACATCCTCAAACCCGATTTCATGCGTGGATGGGACTGGACACGACAGTCCCACACGATTGATCATCCATCGATTGAACTGCATCGAATTCCTCAAAGTAGACATCCATAGGGTCCACATTGTTGCCTATTAGTCCTGGTAAATTTCAAGACACGTGGTAGGAATAAACCTAACAAGGTTCAAACAGCTCATATTTTGATAGGATCAAGGTTTCAAGTCAAAGGAACTGCTGTTGGAGGAGCTTTCATATGCAACGCCTCACCCTCTTGTTTCCTTCACCAGCCAATAGCTTTCTTATGTGAACCAATGGGAACTTAAAATTCGGAAACACTTCAATCTCCACACTCGATAAAAGCCGAAATATTCCAGTGGCTGCTGAGTTGCAGATTCATTGTAAGAAAAAAGACAATAACCTGTTATTTGGAGAACACCAACCCCTTCTCGGGTATTGGTCAAATAACACGTTTAAGATGTTTAGAGAATAACATGTACCAATTGGTGCATCTCTTTTTTGCTAGCCAAACGTGTTATTTGTTTCCAATACCACATCCAAATGACTTATTAACGAAGGCTTATGGTACAACTCAAGATTGGATCAACGCCGATGAAGTTCGTCGGAGCAGTTTGTTATTCTCACAGGCAGACGGAGCACGAGATTGAAGTTAAATTAATTTTAAATAAATTAATGAGAAAAAGTAAAACAAACACTAAACAACTGTGGGAAGACATAAGCGAAATGATTTCTCCATATCGCTGGGTAGCCACAATTTGAGCATCTCTGATGAACTATTGGAATTGGACTTTTAATTAACCAAATCACCGCTATATAACATCCGCGTGGACAAATCATAAACATCGACATTAACGCCACACTTTTTAGAACGACACCGTAGTAAGCGTGCAATCCCCGGCTTAGCCCTCCCTATTCCCGTTTCTTTCCATTTCACCCCCAAACCCTACAATATAATAATACTAATAAGCTATCGCAGCAAACCTCATAGGCTTCGTTTGTTTTTAACTCACCGAGTTACAGAGAGAGAGACTGAAGGGAGAAGAAGAAGGAGAGGGGAAAAAGAGAAAAGCAAAATTGTAGGGATTATCGCCGAATCAGTCGCGTGATCGACTCAGAGGGAGAGAGAGAGAGAGAGAAGGCACTCACAGCAGGGAGAGTTTTGGTGGAGCGGGCGAGTCAAATCAGTCGAATCGTTCGGCTCTGCGCATCCCTTTTTTTTTCCTTCTTCTCTTTCCAATATTTTTCTCTCATTTGGACAGATCCATCTATATCCTGGCTTGAACTTGCCTTACCAGCCCCGTTTATATCGCAATTTTATTATTATGTGTTAAAAATCTTATTTTTCGAGGGGGAAAAGTGGTAAGAGCGGGCGTTGGTGCGGGTTGTGGAATTTTTTTTTTGAACGTTGCGATCTGAGTGGGGTTTGTGTCAGAAATTTTGGAGGGATTTGCGCCCTTTTCCCTCCCTTCTTGTTTTCCTATTTGCCCTTTGCAGTTTTGGGGGCATTAATTGCTGGAATCGGGGTCGTTTTGAGGCGCAATTTGCATGCAGTCTGGCGCCGGCGGAGGTGCCGGCGGCCCCACCGGCAGGGCCGGGAGGGCCGCTTCCACCTCATCAGCAGCTGCATCGCCTTCTTCCTCCTCCTCTGCTGTATCCACTCCGCAGCAGCTGGGTTTCGATTCGGTTCAGCACCAGCAGCAACAGCACCACCAGCAGCAGCAATTAGGGTCTAGGCAGGTAAATGATATTTGAGCTTATGAAATGGGTAGGGGCGGGTCAAGAAGTTCGTTCAATTTCAGGAATTTATAGGGTCTCTTGCATGCGACTGTTTGGGTAATTAATGCTCCGTGAAGGGTTGGCTGAATTTGGCGTTAAATTCATGGGCTTGCTATGGACCTATGGTGTTCTAAGCTTGGTAAATCAATTAGTTGGTGAGATGAGGGAACTGTACTTGCCTTTGCTTTGCGTTGCTTGTGCTTTGTTTTTTGGCCCCCTACACCTCGACTATCGAGGATGCTTAATGAGCATACTATGTCTTGGAGTTCTGCTTTGGATTGTTATTCTCCCTGCCAGCATTCCATATCTGGTGTTCAGTCTCAGGTTGAATTACATAGCCATCGAGTTTGTTGAAGGTCTCTGTTCTCCGTTTTCACTTGTGTGGGTTTCTGGAATATTGCTGATTGGTTACAGCTTTGTCCATTTGGGTAGATCCTTTCAAGTTTCAGTGTCAGGGCACATAGGTTTTTCTGTTACTTGGTTCGTTAGCTTTTTTTTTTGGATATTTGTGTTCCAATGTTATTTTTCTTGGTTTAGCTTTTGGAATTACAGGAAAGCTAGAAATGATGTCTGATTGACGATTTTGGCTTTTGTCATGTTCAAATTGACTTTTGTTTTTTGACAGTTGGAAGTCTTGGTGACTGTTATTACATCACTGACTGCTGGAAGGATCTAGTTTGCTTCTTTGGTTTCTGTGGAACATAATTGGTTGATATTGTCCTTACAGATTCCTTTTTAACTTTTTGTGCAGGCCCTACAGCAGCACCTACTCAGGAAACCAGAAGGTAATGAGGCGCTTTTAGCTTATCAAGCTGCTGCTCTTCATGGAGTCATGGGTGGGGGCAATTTCGCTCAATCGCCGGGCTCAATGCAACTGCCTCAACAGGCGAGGAAGTTCTTTGATTTGGGTCAAGCTCAACAACACGGCTCTTCCCAGGATCGCGAAAACAGAAGCCATATTCAAGACCAACAGGTTTTGACTCCTGCACATCAGGCATATCTCCAATTTGCTTTCCCGAATGCCCAACATAAGCCAGCAACTGCTGTGCCATCACAGCAACAAATGAAAATGGGAATGTTGGGATCTGCCACTGGCAAGGATCAGGATATGTCTATTGGAAATTTGAAAATTCAGGAACTCATGTCCATGCAAGCTGCTAATCATGCACAGGCATCATCCTCCAGGAATACATCAGAACATTTTCCTCGCGGTGAAAAGCAGGTGGAACAAGGACAGCAGCCTGATAAGAGGAATGAGCAAAAGTCTCTGACCCAGCCACCTGTCATGGGGCAACAAATATCTGGGAATGCACCAAGGCAGATGCAGGCTCTACCAACTCAGCACACAATGCAAAACCTACCAAACAACCAGCTCATGGCTGCACAGTTTCAAGCAATGCAGGCTATGCAAGCACTGGCTCAGGAACGTAATATTGATATGTCGGTGCCTGCTAATGCCAACTTGATGGCACAGCTCCTTCCATTGATGCAGGCAAGGATGGCTGCCCAACAGAAGGCAAATGAAACCAATGCTTCTGTTCAGCAGAGTGCTGTACCGGTGTCAAAGCAGCAGGTTACTTCTCCACCGATGCAAAATGATTCACCACATGCTAATTCATCGAGTGACGTATCTGGGCAATCTGGCTCTGCAAAAGCCAGGCAGCCTGTTGCGCCGAGCCCTTTTGGCTCAACCCCTAGTCCTGGAAGTGTGAACAACAGTAATAATAACCTTGGAATGCAGCAGCATGCTTTTAACGGCAGAGAGAATCAAGTGGCTACTAGGCAAACAGCTGGACATGGAAATGGTATGCCTCCAATGCATCCTCCTCAATCATCCACAAATATAATCCAAGGTTCGGAGCTGACATTGCCTGTAAAAGGAGGCGCCTCAACTAGCCCAGAAACCTTTCAGATGCAGCATTTCAAGCATTTGAATCATTCTTCTCCTCAGTCTGCTAGTACTTCAAATAATGGAAGCTCCACCAACAATTTACAATTGCAAGGTGGACCATCTCCTCAGTCATCTCAGCAGCGTGGTTTCACAAAGCAGCAGTTGCATGTTCTCAAAGCACAAATCCTGGCATTCAGAAGACTCAAGGTCCGGGTGCTGCTCCATCTCTTATCATAACTTATAATCTGAACCTAGGCCAATAGGATAGATTATACTCTTAAACAATTGCTAGATTGATATTAATATTTTGCTCTTGGTTGCTTGGCAGAAAGGTGAAGGCACTCTTCCGCAAGAGCTTCTTCAATCTATCATTCCACCACCCCTTGATCTGCAGCAACAACCACAGCAGCCGCCACTGCCATTGTCGCAGCCGCGACAGCCACAGCCACAGGCACAGCCGCAGCCGCAGCAAATTGTTCCTCAAGGTGCATGTAATCAGGAAAGACCTGATGGAAAGCCTTCTGAAGAGCAAGTGAGGCATGTAGATTTGAGTGAGAAGGAAACTCGGTCAATGCCACTGACAAATGGGCTGATTACTCCCAAAGAGGAAAAGCTCGCGCGTGCGGAGAAAGTGACTATGTCAGCAAGTCAATTGCAAGTTTCTGGTGCTGCAGTGAATGAAACTACACCAGTGGGAGCTTCAACTAAAGAAGATCAGCAAAGTCCAATATTTTCTCCCAAGTTAGATCAGGAGGCTGAACATGGCCCACAGAAATCTCCTGTTAGAAGTGATCTTCCGGCTGATCGGGGGAAGACAGTTGCTCCACAGTTGCCTGTATCTGATGCAACCCAAGTTAGGAAACCAACACAAGCAAGCACTGCATCGGGGCCAAAAGATTCTAATTCTGCAAGGAAGTATCATGGTCCGCTTTTTGACTTTCCATTTTTCACAAGGAAACATGACTCAATGAGTTCATCTGGTATGATTAACACCAATAACAACCTGACCCTGGCTTATGATGTTAAAGATCTCCTTTTTGAAGAAGGCACAGAAGTTCTGAGCATAAAAAGATCTGAAAATTTGAGGAAAATTAGTGGTTTATTGTCAGTAAATCTAGAGAGGAAAAGGATCAGGCCTGATCTTGTGTTGCGGTTACAGATCGAGGAAAAAAAACTCAAGCTTTTGGATCTACAGGCACGTATACGAGATGAGGTTGATCAACAACAGCAGGAGATAATGCAAATGCCAGACAGGCCTTATCGGAAATTTGTTAGACTATGTGAGCGCCAACGGATGGAGTTGACTAGACAAGTACAGTCTTCTCAAAAAGCAATGAGAGATAAGCATCTGAAATCTATCTTCCAGTGGCGTAAGAAACTTCTTGAGGCTCACTGGGCTATTCGTGATGCACGGACTGCCCGAAATAGAGGAGTTGCCAAATACCATGAGCGAATGTTGAGGGAATTCTCAAAAAGAAAAGATGACGATCGGAATAAAAGAATGGAGGCATTGAAGAACAATGATGTTGAGAGGTACAGGGAAATGCTCTTAGAGCAGCAGACTAGCATGCCTGGTGAGGCATCTGAGAGATATAATGTTCTCTCGTCATTCTTAACTCAGACAGAAGAATACCTTAATAAGCTAGGAAGTAAAATAACTGCTGCTAAGAATCAACAGGAAGTAGAAGAGGCGGCAAATGCTGCTGCTGCAGCTGCAAGATTGCAGGTATGTGTTTCGACTTGTAGTTTTCAGTATCTGCAATCATTTGGCCATCTACTTGCCTTTGAAACTCGAAGTTTCTGTATCTTAACTGAAGGGACTCTCTGAAGAAGAGGTGAGGGCAGCAGCAACTTGTGCTGGAGAGGAAGTAATGATAAGAAACCGATTTACGGAAATGAATGCACCTAGGGACGGTTCATCTGTTAGCAAGTAAGCTATATTGTTATTTCTATGCTTCCTATTGTTCCTCAGTTGAGGAGCTCTGTGATGTTCTAAAGGTCATAGTTGTGGCTGATTTACTACTATTTGGGCTCCTCCCCTGGAGTTCCTGAAACCACTGTTAATTTGTTGTATCTTGCCCCCTATTTTAAAATGAATGGTTAAGGTAACTGTTTGTTACATGTGATCAGATCCAACCTTTACTATTCATCCCTTTCATTTGTAGATATTACAATCTCGCTCATGCTGTGAATGAAAGAGTCACAAGACAGCCTTCAATGTTGCGAGCTGGAACGTTGAGAGATTATCAGCTTGTAGGTTGCCAATCTTAGTGCAACTCATTTTTTTTTTATTGCATCTTCATTTCTGCTCAAGTATTTTGACCTTTTTTCTGTGCTATTATTTATTTCTAACTGGGTGTATATAATGTTTTCCAACTTTGTGTCGGTCAACACCAGGTTGGATTGCAGTGGATGCTTTCTTTGTATAACAACAAGCTGAATGGGATCTTGGCTGATGAGATGGGTCTTGGGAAGACTGTACAGGTTGTGACTTTATGCTAAATTAAAATTTTGTAGAAATTGCCTAATTGAAGTGACTAAGTGAGTACTTGGAGGAATACAATTTTCAGTTTGATTTGGGAGGATGCGGTGAATGGATCTCTTATACGTTAGTTTCTCTTGCTAGTAGCTGTACATCTTGGTGCTTGTTCCTCAACACTGCTTTCTTCCATCTCCTCATCTCAGGTCATGGCATTGATAGCCCATCTGATGGAATTTAAAGGAAACTATGGACCACATCTTATTATCGTGCCTAATGCTGTTTTAGTGAATTGGAAGGTTAGTTAACCCTGAAATACATATGCACGATGTAGTGTTTGTGTATATATATATATATTTTTGGGTGATGGAAGTTATATATATGTTCTCCATCTTCGTTACACAGAGTGAATTCCACACCTGGCTGCCATCTGCGTCGTGTATCTTTTATGTCGGGAACAAGGAACAAAGATCCAAATTGTTTTCTCAAGTAAGTTATATGATGCATACTGAATGAAAACCTCTAGGCTCAGGAAAAATTGATAAAGTGCTTTTGAACTCTGTAGGAGGTTTGTGCCATGAAGTTCAACGTTCTTGTCACAACTTATGAATTTATCATGTACGATCGCTCAAAACTTTCCAAAGTTGATTGGAAATATATCATAATCGACGAAGCACAGAGGATGAAGGATAGAGAATCAGTTTTGGCCCGTGATCTTGACAGATATCGATGCCAGAGGCGCCTACTTCTCACTGGGACACCATTGCAGGTCCGTTATTTTGGGAGTCCATGTTTCTTGCGTAGACAGTTTAAAGCTATCAGCAGCATATATACCATGCTCACTGGACTTCTGCTTTCTTAATATTGTGCATTCATGATGTAATTTCGAATGACATGGTATTGGTAGTTCCACTTGAAAATTTGTACCAGCAGTTACCATAAAGATTCACCTGGCGTTCCATAAAAACTGGTAGCCGCAATGCACGCTTTCTTCTCATTACCTTTGCCTATAGGGAGGACTCTGATTTCCTCCCTTCGTTAAATTGTCTCTTGCATCCAGATTGACTACTATAAAAAAATCTGAAAACAATTTGATAGGTGAAGCTGCTTCCAGGCTATTATTATGATGTATCCTGTAGTTACCCTCCAACCCATGCCTTTTTTCTTCCTTCATTTGTGATTGTTCGATTGGATCTAGCTTACGCATGCAACTGTGTTCCCAGCTTGATGCTCAAGTCATAAATTTTTGAAGTTTTATTTGAACTTGAATGGGAAAATCAGCATTCGTGCTAATGTCTTATCACAAGTCTTGTGTTTATAGGCAAGTTGAGGCTAAATTCGTTATAAGTTGGTTACCAAATGAAGATATGGGTTCAGGGGTTCCCTGTTCTATGGGGCTTGGTGATTTATAATTACTGATGTATGATCCAGCATTGAATTTGAGAATGAATCTGGCAGGAGCTAATGACTTTTTTCTGCAGAATGATTTGAAGGAGCTTTGGTCACTTTTGAATCTGCTGCTGCCAGAAGTTTTTGACAATCGGAAAGCATTCCATGATTGGTTCTCAAAACCATTTCAGAAGGAAGCCCCTACACACGATGCAGAGGATGATTGGCTTGAGACTGAAAAGAAGGTAATTGTTATTCACAGACTTCATCAGATTTTGGAGCCTTTCATGCTTCGGCGTCGTGTGGAAGATGTGGAAGGTTCACTGCCGGCAAAGGTAATGGGTTATGTAGTCAAACTTGATGCTGCATATAGTCTCTGTGCCCTCACATTCTGTATAACCATTTCTAATGCTTTGTCATTTGTAGGATTCCATTGTCTTGAGATGCAGAATGTCTGCATTCCAGAGTGCAATTTATGATTGGATTAAATCTACTGGTACAATTCGAGTGGATCCTGAGGATGAGAAGGTCAGGGTCCAGAAAAGTTCAATATACCAGGCTAAGGTGTATAAAACTCTAAATAATAGATGTATGGAGCTTCGGAAAACTTGCAATCATCCTTTACTTAATTATCCATATTTTAATGACTGCTCCAAGGATTTCCTTGTTAGATCTTGTGGGAAATTATGGATTCTTGATAGGATCCTCATGAAACTGCATAGAACAGGACACCGAGTACTGCTGTTTAGTACTATGACAAAACTTCTGGACATAATGGAGGAGTATTTGCAATGGAGGCGACTGGTATACAGAAGGATTGATGGTACAACCAGCCTTGAAGATCGTGAGGCAGCTATTGTAGAGTTTAATAGTCCTAATTCTGACTGCTTCATCTTCTTGCTCAGCATTCGTGCAGCTGGAAGGGGTCTTAATCTTCAATCGGCCGACACAGTTATCATCTATGATCCTGATCCGAACCCCAAAAATGAGGAACAGGCAGTTGCAAGGGCCCACCGAATTGGACAGAAAAGGGAAGTAAAAGTCATTTACATGGAAGCAGTCGTCAACAAAATCCCTAGCCATCAGAAAGAGGATGAGTTTAGAAGTGGAGGTTCGGTTGATCTAGAAGACGACCTGGCTGGTAAAGATAGATACATGGGGTCCATTGAGAGCCTCATCAGGAACAACATTCAACAATATAAGATTGATATGGCTGACGAGGTTATCAATGCTGGGCGTTTTGACCAAAGAACAACGCATGAAGAGAGACGCATGACTTTGGAAACACTGCTGCATGACGAAGAGAGGTATCAGGAAACAGTCCATGATGTTCCCTCACTTCAACAAGTGAATCGGATGATTGCTAGAAGTGAGGAGGAAATCGAGTTGTTTGATCAAATGGATGAAGAGCTAGACTGGGAAGAGGAGATGACCAGGTATGACCAGGTGCCTGAATGGCTTCGTGCCAGTTCAAACGATGTGAATTCTGCAATTGCGAATCTCTCTAAGAAACCATCAAAATACATGGTATCTGCTGGAAATTTGGTAGCACAAGCCAGTGAAAACGAGCCAAGAAGGGGGCGACCAAAGGCAAAAAAATATCCAAATTACAAGGAAATTGATGATGACAATGGAGAATATTCAGATGCAACTTCTGATGAGATAAATAGATATTCTGCTCATGATGAAGAGGGTGAGATTAGAGAATTTGAGGATGATGAATCTAGTGGTGCTGGTGAGGCACAAGCAATCAATAAGGACCAGTCAGATGATGAAGTTCCAGTATGTGATGGCGGGCATGAAAATCCCCAGGCTTCAGATGGTATTAGAGACAATCGAATTTTGGAGGAAGCTGGTTCCTCCGGATCATCCTCCAATGGCAGTAAAATGATAAGGATGGTGTCTCCAGTGTCTTCCCAAAAGTTTGGATCTTTGTCTGCCTTAGATGCTAGACCAGGTTCTCTTTCTAAGCGACTGGTACGTTATTGTTTCTGCACTAGGTTTCTGTTATTATTATATTAATATTAAATTTTGTTCCCTATCCCTTCACCATCGTCTGTTAACATTGTCCAGCCAGATGAGCTGGAGGAGGGGGAGATAGTAATGTCTGGAGATTCTCACATGGATCGCCAGCAATCAGGAAGTTGGATTCATGAGCGTGATGAAGGTGAAGATGAACAGGTTTTGCAACCCAAAATAAAACGGAAACGAAGCATTCGGCTTCGACCTCGACATATTCTAGAGAAGACAGAGGAGAAGCCTATTAATGAGGTTCAACGTGGAGATTCTTCTCCTTCACCTTTCCACATGGAACACAAGTATCAAGCACAGTTAAGGAGTGATCCAGAAACCCGAGAAATGAATGCTGTCAAGAATGATCAAAGCGATTCTTCTAAAAGTAGGCGAAATTTACCCACTAGGAGAGCAGCTAGTGCATCGAAGTTGCATGCATCATCACCAAAATCAGGCAGGATGAGTATACAGTCTGTTCCATCAGACGATGTTGCAGAACATTCTAGAGAGAGCTGGGATGGAAAAGGGACAGGTCCCAGTGGTACTCCAGCGGCGGGGAACAAGATGTCTGAAGTTACGCAGAGAAGGGTACGTCTGTTCAATAGCGAAGTATTTGGGACATTTATCACCACTGATTTTTGTTCCTAAGCTTCCAGCAAGTAATTTGCTTATGCGATCCAACATACAGGCAACGAATATGATAATGATTGTCTTTTAACATGGTTTCTTCATTATTATTCCTTAGCTTCCAGCAAGTCATTTGCTTATGCTATCAAACATATAGGCAATGAATATGATAATGATTTGTCTTTCAACATGGTGTCTTCATTTTCCAAGGGGAAGTTGCTTCATAAGGAAAAAAGTGTGGTAACTTTTCCTTTCTTTTAGCTAGGATTAGAATTTAAAAATGATAGGGCTCTTGGTTTCTATAGGTGGCATCTAGCACTGTCTGCGCAAGAGGTCAAGGTGACTAGTTTGTTTTGGCTAACTTAGTTGCCTTTGAAGTCTTAATATGCTAGTCATCCGTGTCTTTCCTGTTGGTCACAACCATTTGCGTTCATCATTTATCTTAGGAGTCATGTATTTGACCTATTAATGTGATGTCCGATAGTTCATTTGTTCTTTCCTTGATATTTAGACTTTTATTCCAATTTTATAGTTACGATTGGTAAAAATGCAATTGGACATTTATGTGGATAGTGAGAATGCTACTTTGAACAAATTAGTGGAAGTTGTTTTTGCTGATGTGTTCAATTATGTTTAGTGCATTGTAAATCATCATCAAGGGCTCACTGTGTGGTTGTGTTGTAAATTTATATACGTTTGTTTATATCGAAAGCTTCGTTCATTTGCTTCACCTTATCACAAAGGGCAACTTCTAGATAGCTTGTGATTGAAATTTAGCTCTTTAAGATGTTTCGGATGATCATCTTTTTAATTTTTCCTTCTCTGCAACCTATTTGCACTTGAGTTGTTTTGTATTGTCATCTGAGCTTACCTGAGTTCTTCCTTTTAGCAGTGCAAAAATGTGGTTATCAAGCTTCAAAGGAAAGTTGAGAAGGAAGGCCAACAAATTGTCCCTCTCCTAACTGATCTATGGAAGAGGATTGAAACAGGCTGTATGAGTGGTGCTGGAAATAATCTCTTGGATTTAAGGAAGATTGAGCAGCGCGTCGATAGGTCGGACTACGGTGGTGTCATGGAGCTTGTGTTTGATGTTCAATTCACGTTAAAGGGTGCGATGCAGTTCTATGGGTTCTCACATGAGGTATGCTTGCCATTTGGCTTCTCAACTGTTCCTTGTTGGTTAAAGCATCTTGTGGAGGAGTTTTCCATCACCATTGTTAAGCACACCGGCTAGCTATATATCTCTTTTTTGTTAAGCTTAGAGGGCTGGGCTGCTGGCAAGTGGTGGCCATTTCTTATTTTACCGCTGCCCTACGGCCCTTACTGCATTTATATGATTGTCGGCGTTTTTAAAGCAGATCTTGCCAAGTTGCAGTCGAGCATCAGTTTATGCAAATATATTCCGTGACTCTGATGTATTTGCGAATGTATTCAATCATTCATGAAATTGTAGGATTTTTGTTTTTGCTGTGAAACTTCTGGAAGCTGAGCATGTGAGTTTAGGGTTATTCTTAATCCATTATCTTTGTTAAAGGAAGGCAAAAGTCTGAAGTTACGTGTGTTTACTCGATGATGCAGGTTAGATCTGAAGCGAGAAAAGTGCACGATCTATTCTTTGATCTCTTGAAGATTGCTTTTCCAGACGCAGATTTCCGGGAAGCCAGAGGTTCACTTACGTTCTCTGGGCCTGTACCACCTACGTCCAATGCTGGTCCATCTCAAAGACAGACAGTGGCAAGCCAAGGCAAGAGACACAAGCAAGTAACTGAGGTAGAAACCGATGCTCATAAGCCAATTCCTCAAAAAGGGTCTTCCAACCTCGGAGAGGACACGAGGATCAGGGTCCAAATTCCTCAAAGGGAAACAAGGCAGCAAGGGAGTGGAAGTGCAGGGAACCGAGAACAACAGCAGCAGGATGATTCTCCCTTGCACCCTGGGGAGTTGGTTATCTGCAAGAAGAAGAGAAAAGATCGGGACAAGTCCGTGGTGAAGTCTAGGGCTGGATCAAGTGGCCCTGTTTCCCCCCCTAGCATTGGGCGGAACATGATGATGAGTCCCGGGGCAGGTTTGATCGGTAGAGAAGGAAGACAGAGTCATCAGCAGCATGGCAGCGGCGGCCATCAGCCACAGCATGCATGGATTAACCAATCTCAACCTGCGAATAATAATGGCGCTGCTGCTGGTGGTAATGTTGGCTGGGCAAATCCTGTGAAGAGGTTAAGGACAGATGCGGGTAAACGACGGCCAAGCCATTTGTAATTCTTCTATAGGTTTTCAAGAATGTGAAAGTAGAACATGTAAGGGAAGAAGAGTTGAGAAGGTGAGGTGTTGTGAGTTGAAACGTATTAGCTGCAGAGTGGAATTTGCAGGGCTGCCCCAGAGAAAATGCTGTTAGTTGGATTCTGTAATAGATTGTAGGTAAGAATTGCTCACCCCAAAGTCCCTCATTGTAGACCAGAACTGGCCCGGCCCTTGTGAATTGGGGAAGTTCTATAAGTTTCGTCTTATCGACCAATGACATGGTTTCCTGCTATATGCTATAGGTAGGCTGAGCATTGGTGCGGTCGAACTGCTTCATGCCGCACCAAACTGCTTTTGCGGTAGAGTCAAATCGAGTCGTGAGACTTGGAACTGCTTTTGCGGTAGAGTCAAATAGAGTCGTGAGACTTGTGGTCTAATATGCGGTCTGAATTTTTAGTGACTTGCGGTTGGACTAATCCGAAATCGAAAAGCTGTGGTCCAAAACTACAACTGTAAATAATTTTTATTTCCCTGTACAATTGCCAGCGGCTGATCTACGATCTCGTATGTCGTATCTCTCCTACTCTCGCCACAGCCATGGCTTTTAGAGGAGTAAGCAGTTCAAACAATGCCCACAGCAGATCATCCTCACGTATACCATTCTCAAGTATATATAGTCTTTTTCTTCACCAATGTTTTTGGACTTGCTTGTGGTGCCTCTAGTCTTTTTCTTCAGAGGAAGTGGAGTGCCACCCTTGGAGACATATTGGTTTGAGCCTTTCGACGCCATCGCGAGAAGAGAGAGATGAGCAGAGAAGCGAGTTTCAGAATAAAATCGAGTACAATGCCTAAGGCGATAGCATGTGTGTAGAAGTCCATTGTCATGCCCCGTAGCCTCGGTTCTAGAGATGCCTCTCTTCGGCACCTCAAATGAAGAGTATGAATGATACCTGCATAATTAGCAAGAAGAATAAGAGGCGCTCAAGATTTGACGGGGCCTCTAGTAGTGTTAAAAGGAGATAACAAAGGGAGATTCCTTGCCTGACAAGTCGAAGACAGACGTGGTTGAAGCCGAAGAGCGCCCGATGTCCGTCAAGGAGCGCCAACAACGACCTGGTTAGTAGAAAGCAGAAACTGGAGGTGGAAGAGGCGCCTGCGGATCAGAAGGAAAAAACCAATAATAAAATAAAGTATAAGGACGTGACACCACCATGCAAAATATGATGGAAGGAAGGTGATTCGGACATAATTATACATATTTTACCCCTCATTTCTTGATTGTTTGACTTGGTAAGTCATTGTCCCTCAACCTTTTTTATGCTAGGTTTTGCTGCTTTTGTCACATTTAAGGTCCTAGTACATATGGGAAGGTCGAGAACGAGTTTCGGTATGATTGGAAGTCGAAAAGTGTCAAAAAGTGAAGAAAAGACCAATGTCACGGGCTGGGGGCGATTGTCACAGCCTTTGGGCCAAGAGAGAGTCCTCTAATCAATGTTTCCTTTGCCGCCCAAGAGAGAGTCCTTTGCTTCCAACCCTCCAGGCGTTCTAGCAGCTTAGCCTCCAAAAAACGGAATGTAGCCATTTTGGACTGGGCAATTAAAGATGGTAATCCCAAATATTTGTCATGTACCCCCACCGCACCTACTCCCAAAATATCAGTAAGAAATTCTTGGTCCGACAGAGATACATTCTTACTGAAACATACTACCGATTTGGCCAAGTTAACCCTCTGGCCACTCAGTTGCTCATACTCATTTAGAACCTCAATCAGGTTCTCGCACTCTTGTAGAGAACCTCTGAGGAATAAGTAAGAGTCATCCGCAAAGAATAGATGCGAAATCCGAGGGGCTCTAGGGGCCACCTTAACCCCTACTAGCTTCCCTTCATCAATAGCCCTCCGAAGAAGCGCCGCAAACTCCTCTGTGCATATTACAAAAAGGAGAGGGGATAGCGGATCACCATGTCGAAGACCTCTAGATGGGGTAAAAAACCCGAGGGAGTACCATTGATAAGAATCGAGAACGACGTTGTGTTAAGACATTCCTGGATCCACCCGCACTAGGTAGTATTAAAGCCTAACTTGTCCAAAAGCACAAGGAGAAATGACCATTCGACTCTATCATAGGCCTTTTTCATGTCAACCTTTAGAGCCATGTACCTTTTCTTTCCACGGGTTTTGATTTTCAGATAGTGCATTAATTCATGTCTTAGCAGGACATTTTCCACAATTTGCCGTTCCCAGATGAAAGCATTTTGTCCCTCCTGGATGACCTGGTGTAGGAAGCGGGCTAGTCTTTTAGGGGTCGTTTGCTTGTGGGATTTGGTTGATGGATTTGGAACCCAAATCCCAAGCATCATGGAGTTGACACAAATCCTTTGTTTGTTGAGGGATACAAATCCGTGGGGTCCACGGATTTGGACCCCTTTTTTAGATCCAAATCCGTGGACCCCACGGATTTGTAAATCCCACATTTCATTTGGGATTTGACAATAGAAGGAAAAAATGTGAGACAAATCCATCACAAATCCATGATAAAAAATCAACTAAACAAACAATGTACTCTTCCAAATCCATGATACAACAAATCCATCATAAATCCAAAGGTTTTTAAAACTCAAAACCTTCATTTTCAAATCCAACAAGCAAACAAGCCCTTAGACATGAGTTTAGTAATTATTTTATACACAAACTGTCATAAGCTTATAAGTGAGTTGTCTCATGTTCTCAACAATGTCCAATTTAGGGATCAGCGTGAGCCAGGTATGATTGAAGTTTCGGAGTAGTCTATTCGTCCTAAAGAAAAACAGACAACTTTCGTAGCGGCCGTCACTTTACGCGGGATTGGTAAATTTGCAATCCCAACTTTCATGTTCATCACATGGTTTTCTGAGGTGAATAGGATTTGATAAAAATTGTGGCAATGTTAAAAACAAGAAATGCTATTGTTCAAAACCATTTGAAAAGCATTGCAAGTGTGCAATAACAAGTTAAACTATAAAATTGTTACTAATTAAGTCCTACAATTTCGTGCCTTAAAACCTTTTAAAAATGTTGGCAAGTATTATGTCAATGGTAATTTACATGGCATAACATGGATAACTAAAAAAGAAAAATTTTGATATGTTAAAAACACGTGTACAAACAGTTAATAATGAGAAGGGAATTCTAACTGGTAGTGTCATCCTCAGATCATAGATCGTCATAGCCACCATCAAAATCCTCATCAGAATTATAGGAATCAACCTTATAATCCTTGATTACACACGGTGCAAACTATAGCTTGAATACGCAACACATCAAGGGACAAACTAGCCTCCTCGTGCATAGCCACAATCTAGAGGTAAAAAAATCAAAAGGAAAGACTAATTAAATGTGATAAACGAAGAAATCAGTAACATAAACATTAATAAGTTGACCATATTTGTTAATAATACGTAACATAAAACGTTAAACCTGTTTCATTATAACTCTAATAAATCATCAATACTGATATGACACATAAAATAGTATGGTCTTTAGGAAAAATCTTTAGTAATGTTGGGATCATTAATAACACTTATGAATCACCTCGCTAGAATCCACATGGTCAAACCTCAAGCAAAGAAAATCGAACTTAGACTTCGGAACCACGATACCTCATCCAGAGAACTCTACTGTTATTGCTCTTCAGAATGCAACACGTCAGACCTAACATTCCTAGCTATTTCTAATACTTCAGGAGGCTTGGAATCTTATCTAGTATCCTTTTTCCTCGAAGTTTTGCCAACAAACTTAATCCGAGAATTAACCGTAAACCATACGGGTAATCCGATGGGTATGCTGTCAAAGGCGCCGTAGGGGCACCAAAAACAGTTCGTAAGTTCGGAGGAATCACGTCGCTGGCATCGTGGAACGTGTGTAAGTTGTAAAACCTAGAAAACAGTAGGAGAAAATTCAAATCTGTTTGACTTACGTCAGAAATGCCGCTGGTTTTAATAAATTCTCCAATCATTAGTTAACCTATAAATGCAATGCCATCACTACCACTAACTATCAAATAACCACTAACTATTCACTAACTAAACACGATTAATCTAATGGACCTTATTAGCTTAAGAAACTTCTTAAGTTTAGATGGTTCTGAACCCATCCATTAATATTATGGTCAATTTTAAAAAAGATATTTGAATTATATCAAATGAAATGTCCCTTCCTTATACTAAGACTAAATTCATCTCTTTGATATTATTTATTATTTAATTTTGAAATAATACAAAGAAAAAGACTTAAGCTAGTAAAGAAAAAAAAGCATACTTGTCCCTTGATAGGTCAGCACCATATCCAAAATCCAATGCCATCACTACAAACAGTGTATGTATACGACGGATTACTACCAAAAGGAAGAAATTAGGAAACCAACAAAAAAGGAACCCTAATCCACGACATTTAAATACAAACGTACACTGTTTTTTTTTTTTTTTTTTGCTTTTCAATAAACCATTTCTATAAAAGAATACAACATTTCTTGGTTTGTAAAATGCCTTTCCTTTCCAAACCATTGCATTGGTTCAACATATATCCTCTTGCCTACGTTGTTTAGACCCTATAAAACCCTCACCCCTTTCTCCACACTTTCATTTCTCCATAGTTATCCGATTCCCCCTTACAATCATGGGTACTACTAGTCGAGAATCCCCAAGAGCATGGGCGAACGCGATCGTCGGTCTCTTCTCTCGGATGCTCGAGGTCGGAAGGCCTCCGAGGCTGTCGATGAAGGTGATAGGTTTTTGGGTTTGGCTGGAAGGCCATGGTGGCCTTCCAGACCTTCTCACCACAATCGCCCACAGGAGCGACAAGATCCTCCAACTTGTGGCGGCGGAGGCTGAAACCATGGTGTCCTTCCTGTCGTCCTCCACCGCGACTAAGGAGGACATCCCTGCCCTCCCCGTCACCCTCGACATATCCCACAACGAGTTCCCACTCGATGGGATAGTCGCGGGGAGGGAGCGGGTGGCCAATGAGATAGAGGAGATCTGTGAGGGGACCTTGCATGAGTTGTTGGATGGTGTTTTGAGGGAGAGGAAGATCGACATCACCTCCGACGAAGACGAGGAAGGAGAAGATGATGAAGAGGAGGACGAGGAGGAGAAGAGTGATGATGGTAGGGCGGCGACGGCGACAGGAGGAGGAGGAGGAGGGAGCTTGGACCCTAAGGCACGAGCGTGGAGCCCAGAGAGCGGACGTGCACCGGTGGAGGATCGATGCTTGTACGTGACTTTCTCCATCGGCGACCCCTTGTCGGCTGACCAAATTGAGCGCTTTTTCACTCGGTAACCATCGATAATTAATTAGTTCGAAAAAATCAGTATATAAATACACAGAGGGTAGTCAGGAATTTTTTTTTGGGGCAAATGGTAGTCGGGATTTTGTTTACGTGGGTTCGACATAAAAAAAATATACATGATTTTTATTACGTTTCTATAATACGATTTGTTTTCGTATTCTACAACGTTTTTAAACGTATTTATTATCCAGACGATAAAAAGTATGTTATTCACATACTTTATTGTGGAAAATGTTATTTCAAAACTTATATTGACCAATAGCAACAATACTAATCTTCTAAGTTGATCGGAAAACTAGCTAATTGTGAATTATTGATACAAACAAAAATTGAGTGTGTATTGTACACTCAACTCGATAAATAGCCATAAAACATCAATGTTTAATTTCAATCGGTAGAATTATCTAATATAATAATATAATATAACATAGGTTCACTACTAAGTACTAACTAATGCATTATCCTATGCACTAAACCTTCAATTTTGAGCCCAAACCTGAACTCCAAATTGCAAACCCTAGCCCCTAACCCTAGATCCCTAAACCCTAAATCATTCCAGTCAAAGTAAATCATTCAAGAATAATTCAAGATTTAATTTGATTTGATTGATTAAGAGTTTAGGAATTTAGGGTTAGGGTTTGGGTTTTACAATTTGAGGTTTAAAGTTAGGGTTCAAAATTGAAGGTGTAGGCCTTAGGAAAATATATTGATTAGTTGTGATCCTATGTTATATTTTCATATTATATTATTCCTACCAATTAAATTCGATTTCTTTAAGCTAATTTTAGAGTTAGGTGCATTGAATCACTCAGTACACTGAAGTAGTCACCTTTATATATTGCATTGGAAAACATCTCTTGTCACATTAGGTGACAAATCACCCAAGGCCAGCTCATTTACATCATTTTGTGCCCATTCACACCATTTTATGCCCATTCACGTAATACTATTGTGATTTACGTAAGAGTGTAAGTTTTTCACGTAAATGGAAATTCAGACTTTTTCCCCATAATAATTTGTATTGGCTATATTTTGTGGAATTAAATTCAGATTATCAAAAACTGTAAGAATATGTTGCATTGATCATAATCTACAGAATGACATTCGTTTTGATATATTTCAAAATTTAAAATTTTATTTTACAAGGACGTGAATAATTAACAATATGCGTGAATGAAAACGAATATTGGTTGCGTGACCTAACAATATTGGTTGCGTGAATAATCAACACTCTTACGTGAATAAAGCAAATATGACGCGATTGAAACAAATATAACGTGAATACAACAAATATGACGTGAAGACGTGAAGAGGGTATATATCGAGTGGGCATAAAATGGGGGGTTGGGTTGAGTTTGTTAATTATTTTGTTTGGGCTTTTAATTTATATATATGGATGCAGGAGGTATGGGCGTTGCGTGGAGAGGGTATATATCGACCGGGGGGAACCGCCGATGTACGGCAAGGTGTACTTCCGGGCGTCCTACATTCCGGCGATGATACTCGGCGGTGAAGATGAAGTCAGGTTCTCTGTCGCGGGGAAGTCTCTCTTTTGCAAGCGCTTCCGCCGCCCAGGCAACGAAGACGAATGATCAGTTAAGAATAACTATGTGTGTATGTGCACTTCTTTTTCAGGCGGTTTTTGGATTATAGTTTGAACTATGGATTTGAGTAATGGTCGAGTCGAATAATTGTTGCTGCTGTTGTGCTGTTTCTTTTATCAACTGGGTTTTTTTTTTTTTGTTGTTGTTGGTTTGTTTTATCTAAGTTGTGATGAATTGAACTGTTTTGGATTGATTTTCGATATTTAATTCTTTTACAAGAACACGTAAAGAAAAAATCTTATAAATGAATAATAAATATAGTAGAAGGAATAATTGTGCCTTGAAAACAAAGTCATGAAATTTGTTTGGGATGAAATTGAGGTTTACATTACTAGCCAGCTACAAGACCAGACTTAATCACAGGGATGAAATTGGCTGGAAGTTCATTCTCCTCCCTGCATATCTCTCTGATCAGCAAAACCTCTATTGTTCTTCGAATACATTAATCACAGGGAAAGAGTAGCTAGAAGGACACAATATGCATGCATGTTGAAACTTTTCAGGAAAGAAGAAAAAAAAAGGGTATTTCAATGGCATCTATCCTGACATTATTTCCACAGATCAAAACTAAAGAGGCCCCTGGTGAGAAAGATTACAACTGATCTTAATATCCGATAGCATCCATGGAGTTCATCCCCCATCCCTGCGTATACAGTTCTGCTCATACTTTTCTCTCTACATGATCACCTTCCGTCGGCGACTGCTCATCCCTCTTGCAGTTGCATGCGCTACGTTGTTCGCCGCCTTTTTAAGTTCCCTCAGTCAAGAATTCTTTCCCCAGTTGAAAACAAGTTCCACACTAGCGTCCCTATTATGTACAAAACCACTGCCACCTTGAACACATCATCCCAGGAACCTGCAGACGACGCCACAATGCAAGTCGGTGACAACAATGTATATATAGAGAAATTTTGAGTTAAGAAGGGAGAAGTGCAAAATTGCTTGATTGAAAATCGGAGAGTGGTGTCTTCATTGCCGCGTCACTTGTTCACCTCTTTGGAGGATGTAGCCAGTTGCTGCAGTACCAAACACACCAGCAAGCACTCCCGCTGTGTTTGATAGACCTAGCAGAACCCCCTGCACAAAGATAGTGCAACCTCAGTTGTTTCATTAGAGGAGGCCATCTCCATTACTACACATGTAGTTTTGCAATATTACCTACAGATGCACACTCATCCAAGTAGGGTTTAGTAAAGAAAGTTGACCAAATATCATTCCTATTTAGAACAATCAGTGCTTGTTTTACGAAATCACCTCACAAAGCAAACTCCAAATCTAATAGAACCGGTGTTTTCTGCTTGGCAAATATATCTTCAAGCAATTAAGAACTATTGCTTAAGGTGATGGATGGTGTAAAAGGAGAGTACTTACAGCGTAACGTGGGCCAATATCTTGGTGATTGGAATATAGACCAGATTGGGAAAACGCATCAGATCCCTGATCACCAAATACAATAATGACCCTCATTAACTCAACAACACACCAGGAAGTTCAATCCTGTTTCATAAACCATTTTCTAGCAGGAAGATACCAAATACTTATATGCTAAACCATTATTAATATCCTTTACTCTGTCAAATGTTCAGCAAATATTTTCATTTCCTTTGCTACATTTATGTAGATTCATTCTGCCTGCTTTCTCGTAAAAGAAGATTTTGAAGGCACTGTCCGTGGTGACAAATGACAATCCAAATGATGGCAGCAGATACAATTGGAACTTGCAAATTTTCCTTCTCATGAAAGTGAGTGTTCAAGGATTATCTGCATTCTTATGTCGTAGACTTCTAGTGCTTTTGAGATATTAATTTCGGAGGCCTGACAAGTTGAGGGATAAACCTGACTACAAGCCATGCACAGTACTGCCATTGCTGGAGTCTTCACATTACTCAGCTGCGTGAGAAAGAATGCAGGGCCCAAAAAGCCAATTGATTGCATGATCTGCGACAGGGAAGTATGCCATTACAAACATCAATGACTTGCCGAATATAAAGAGAAAAAGTAAAGGACCAAAGATAAGATGAAGTTTAACATTCAACAACTGCAACAGTCATATGCAAAAATAGGTTGATCTCGTACTTGTCAAGTAACAAGAGATTTAGAATAGCATCCAATTCGTAAAAATAACAACATAAACATTTACTTCTTACCTTCCGGACTGTTGTTATGGAAAGGCCTTTGCTAACAAGTGTGTCAGCAATCCACCCTCCTATGTTCGCAAAAACAGCCATTGTCAGCCATGGCAAGACACATAGTAGCCCAGATTCAGTGAGGTTAAACTTTAGAACCTGCAATCACAAATAGAACAAAAACAAGTTATAATGTAAGACGACCTATCTCCGGATAACATCATTACCAGCTGCATTGAATGAAATTTCAAAGATCTCGATAGAAGGGGGAAACGATCAATCACCTGGTTGTAATAAGTAGGCATCCAAGTCAAGAGTATAAAAGTTCCCCAATTATGGCAGAAGTGAGAAATTATAAGTGCCCAAACAGGAGGTTTGGATAAGATCAACTTCCAAGGAATGACTGTAACGGGTTCTTTTGATACACTACCACTCATAATAAGCTTCTTTTCCTGTGGGCTCAGCTCAGGGTCATGCTCCGGAGAACTATATGCCTACATACAAAACAGGGAACATGCACAATAACTTATTTAGTGGCCTTCTATTGATAATTTCAAGTCAACATTAAGAACATGCCAACGACAAGTTCATCTCACGATCTTTTCTCCCCAATCATGGAAAAGGGTTCATTGAAAATGGTATACCCACAAGAAGGAGCTGAAAGGAGCCACCGATTACCTTTTTAAGCCACAATGCAAACCAGATGGTACCTAGGGACCCAAATGAATAGAAGACAGATGGCCACCCGAATCTATTTATTAGAACAGGAGAGAGAGCTAATCCTGTGACAGAACCCATATACATCCCGCTATAAACAAGGGCAAGCGCTCTACTTCTTTCAGATACAGGAATCCACTTCGAGAGGATGTTGTTCATAGCCGGCATCGCCACACCCTGCAACACAGGTTGATCACCAGATAGTTTATGGATTTTACTTGGGTATGAAATACCCATTCATTTAGGATAGTCAGACCTCGACATATAGCAGCCGTCATCAGAAGATATAGTTCACCAAATTAGAACATTTTACTAAAAAGGAGAAGGTAGGAAATCACAGTAACAAACATTTTGTATCAAAACCCGTCCAACGTAAGCCGAAAGGCTGATACTCTTCTTTCTTCTAATAGTAGCATGTCCTTTATTAGAAGTTATATTCCAGCTGCAAATTATTCAACCATTTGTTCCATCTTTGGTATGAAAATTATTGTCAAAGTGACACAAATCATTTCTGCTTAACTGATTAGTGACAGGTAGTTACTCAACTACATGCTATTATACGGTTTTAGCAAGTAATAGACTGACCTCGCCAATTCCCATAAAAGCACGCATCATGAGCAAAAACGGAAGTCCGATTTTGGCAGCAACGGGAGTCAGAATGGTGGCTATTGACCACCACACAACTCCGAAACCCAATACCAGCTTGCCGCCAACTTTATCTGCCCAAATTCCTCCTACAATCTGCAAGTGGGTGGCAAAAAAATAAATCGAAAAGGTATGGGTGCACTATAGGATTCAAAAACAAGCTTCATACAGGAGTAGAAGCAAAATCTTCTTTTTCTATAACTTCTTTGATAATTCAAAACAATGAACACGAGTACAACAGTAAAGAGAAATGTCCTTTGTTGAGTCATGACAAAACCTCTGTAATGAATAGTTGACTTCAGTGCGCTAGATGAAAATTTCTGCTTTCACAACACTCACCTGAGTCATTAGGTAGCCCCAGAAAAAAGAGGACTGAATTAAACCAACTGTAGCACTATTCCAACCAAACTCTTTTGACATCGGAAGTATGGCAATGCTCATGTTAACCTGCCATAAGTATCGAGTGAGGTTGTATATTAGGCAGAGCAATACATCATTCAATAATTCAGTATTTGAATGCTAAAACGGTAACATGGTGGCAGTATCTGACACATATTAATTTGAAATTTCTAATGCATCAAGGTACTTACTCGGTCCATGTTGCACAAGAGAAATGCTGTAAAACATAGTAGCACAACCACCCATCTCTTAGGAAGCTGCTGCCACCATGGAGCTGCTCCATCCACATTCCCTTCCACTAAAGCAACCTCACCGGAACCATCTTCCGGGTTCAGCGATTCAACAGCTGCTTCCACCGGTATGTCAAACTCCTCGGATTTGTAGTAAGCACAGGTCCTATTGACCTTTGGAGACCCGAAATTCTGCCATTGGCCTCTCGGCTTCTTAGGAAGATGAGTCGCTGGTAGCATCAAAGTCACCCCATTTAAGTGGCAGTTAATTCGAAGACGAGCGGAAGATGGGACGATGGGCGCAACCTGTCTGGCTGTCCTGGTGCTAAACTTTCCATAGAAGGTTGTAGCATTTGCACCCCGTACTAGTGACTCACATCCTTTCCCTGCCAACATGATATGATGAAGTTACCAGTATTAAACAATTTGTACCCTCCATACCAGACGAAAAATCCAGCATTGTAAGATGGTTGTTGGGCACACATGCTAGCTAAAGGAGTAGAAAATCTACAGTGCAGATCCTACTACGTCACTACTGACACTACCCAGATACAAATATCAAGGCAGTGTGAGTCAATGTACCCTCGAATTTCCTATTCCGCAGATTTCCAAAAGTCCATTCAAGAAGAGGTGGAAGCTAGGCAGCTGCCTAATTTAGACTACCATATCGGCGTCCGCCGCATGCAGAGCCCTCAATTCCCATCACTAAATGAAATTCAGGGAAATTCACATTCTATCAACTTCAAAAACCCTACTGCAATCGGAAAGAGCTAAATTGCCCCCAACTTTACTGAGCAAAGCTTGCAGGCAGTGAATGCAAGCAAAGATTAAGCAGTAGGAGAAATCCAGTGGTCACAAAATTGAAGTCGCT